GCCGGCCCCGCCGCCCCCCCCGCCCCCCGCCGCCCCCCCCCCCCGGGCGGGCCCCCCCCCCCCCCCCCCCCCCGCTAGTGTGTGTATCTAGAGTACCTATGATTATAATTGACTTTGTAAGAGATACTGGGCTGGACATGACTGGCGGCCACCGCGGGAAGGGAAGATAATGGAACATAATAAAGTCATGCATCGCCAGCCCTAAGACCAGCCCGAAAGAGGAAAAGAAACGCGGGGGGGAGCGCCCGATTAGGCAGGAGGACCCTCTGCGGGGTGAGGGCGGGTCCCGTGACCGCCAGGGGAGTCTCTGCATATCAAAACAGGCGGCGTCCAACATACTCCGATACATACAAAGCAACCTCTGTCGGCCCCCTTCATCAGCTTGCCACCTGGGACCGTACAGTGGAGTATCATCCTCTGCCGGTCATGGCAACCGAGGTGCCAATCGAATCTCGTAAATTACGACGCACTACTAACGCGTGAGCTCCCCTTCCCCTCCCTTGTTGTGTCGACCGCGAGATGTGGGATGTGGAACCCTGATCGAGACTCGCTAGATGTGTGGCATGCCGGCAAAGCAAGATCAAATGCTCGGGAGACGATCCGTGTGCCAACTGCCAGCGTCGTGCCCTGAATTGTCACTTTGTCGAAGGAGGCAACAAAGTTACGGTGGCCCAGAAGTGCGTCGCTCCCCCTCCGTTATATATGATGCGCTGGACACCCAACGCCAACCCCATGCTCTAGATATCTCCAGGAACTACAGCGACAGGTGCGAGAGAAACCGCAATCGTCGCTGGGAACGAAACGCACCGTCGACGTGGCGTTCGGACCGGAGGCTCGGGCGGCGACCGTGTCCCCCCGCACCGATGAGTTGCCTCCGTATCCAACCATTGATAACGGCCGCAGCGTGTGGATCAGCCCATTTACGCTGCCCTCGAGAACAATCAAGAACTCTTACAAGAACAAACGAAACTGGAGTATATCTCCCTTCCCCCAGAGATCGTGGTGGGGAGAAGATTCACTGACGCGATCCACTGTTGTCACTTAGTCTGGTTGGCCCCGACGTCAGTATGGTCGTTCACCGCACGACTCTCGGTTATGATGACCGAGAAGCTCCATATGCCGTCGCCCTACACGGTTCCGAACTCCCTGGACTGCGATGTGTATCCGCTACGGTGGAGGCCGGCTGCGTTCGATGACCCGCCGGACATCACCGGCCTGCCGTCCATTGACCACGCGCTGTATCTCTTCAACACCGTTAAATTCCATCTCCACCAGAACTATCGTTTCTTCGACGAGGAGACGTTTCTAGCCCACGTGCATGAATTCTACTTTGGAGCCGCTGCCCAGAAGGCCGCTGAATGTCGTCTCTGGTTTGTCCAATTCCTTCTGGTGCTGGCCTTTGGTAACGCTTTTCTGCAATCGCGGGCGACGCAGGATCCTCCGGGTTCGAAATTCTTCGTCCGAGCCATGTCGCTGATTCCCGACCACGCATCGCTCTGGAAGGATAGCCTGCTGGCAACGGAGGTCCTGGCGCTAGCCGGCTTGTACTTGTATTGCATTGACCACCGGGAATCGGCACACGTCTACGTCAGCTTCTTTACCCCCTCTCTTCCCAGCTCCCATAGCTCGTGAGAGGAACCATGTACTGACTGTCATCCCACCTGCAGGTAGGTCAGGCCATCCGCATCGCTCAAATGGATGGTTTACATACAGAGTTGCCCGAAGACGAACTGGGCGTGGAGACGGTGGCGCGTTGTCGTAACCTTTGGTGGACGCTGTACGTGATGGACCGGCATTTTTCGTCATCAGTTGGGCTACCTATGACCACGCATGATGACGATATTACCACCGTCATTGATCCGCCCAGTACCTGCTCCCAGCGGGATGCCACTCTCAGTCTCCATGTGAAGCTGTCGCATCTTCTTTCCTTTATTCTCACTAGTAAGTCAACCGGCTTCCCCACGTGGACCGGGCCTCACACCCCTGCCTCAAGCCATATACAAGAACGAAACGACCGCTCTCGGCACTTTCCTTGAAAAGACGAGATCCATCCTGCAAACTATGGCTGGACACGCCCAGGAGATCGAAAATATCATTCACCTCAAATTTCAAAACTCGGTCGATACAATGCCTAGAGGTACGCGGCATATCACTCTGCTGTATCATCAGGTACGATCCGATATTCTTCCGCCGGAGGGACATGTTGGCTTTTGCTCAAACAATGCGGGAGCTTAACAGCGTGCCCCCGTTGATATGTGCAGAGCCTCGTCGGCTGATGAAGATCTACAGTGCGTGATTTTCGCCACGCGACCGTTGTTGCTATCCGTATTAAAGGAACGACTGGACAAGCTTGGTCATGAGGAAGAAAATTGGGAGAGTTTCCTGGCCCCGACAAAGACCTTGATCTCGACCGGAATCAAGTCCGCGGCGAAGACGCTGCAAATACTGTCGGACGAGGACAGCCTTCTGGGTGAGCGAATCGATCGCGATTCAGACTTGCTGCGAGCTGACACCGTGTTGAGAGGTCTTTTTGCCTTTTCAGCTAGAGTATACCTACGGGGCTGCTATCCTATTGCTGATGGCTACGACCCTTTTCCCGCACGCTACGGAGGGCCAGAGTTACACCGCGGAGGCGCACGCGATTCTAGATGAGATGATCTACAAAGGAAATCGACTGGCAGTAACACGCAAGACCGAGTTGACCCATCTGGAAGGCCTGTTCTGCGAGCTGGGTGCGCGCATTGAGCGGCGTGGTCTCCAGACGCTGACGCTTCTAAGTCCCGACCAGGACGTGGGCGACCTCACGCACGAGCCGGAGGAAGATACGACACTGACCGGCCCGGCCACCATGACGCCGTCGATGATCGGAGATCCCGGTTGTTCACCCTCGGCGCTGCCGCCGATTACCAGCAATCTAGAATTTCTGGAGAACATCGGCATCTCCTCCGACGAGTTTCTCTCAATCGTCAATCAGATCGGGAATCCCGTTAGCCACAGTATTCTGGACCCGGGTCAGATGCGAAAGTCCGCATTCTGAGCCCAGCTATTCTTGAATTGTCTACTGATATTCCCGTTTGCCTCCTTTCCTACCCAGGCTGAATTAACCCAGCCCCCATCTTTGACTCAAGATTGTTATTTATTTGAATAATAGGTCTATTTTACACATGAATACTGCCCTAATTTACTCTCGAGCCGATCACGCAGCCGAAAAGCACCAAGATAATTCGATTAAAGTGGTCCGGCCTCTAGTCCCAAATCCCCCTGAGAAACGAATAAAGCCGTGTACGACATGGCATTTCTCTCTGTCGACATGGGCCCGTCGCGACTTACTCGATTTGGCCCCATTACCAGAACATAAACCAACGGATGAGAAATATATTGATTAACCCTTGGACTTTGGTAACTATATGACTGTCAATTTCCGGTTTGCTAATTGTAGCGGCCACCAAGAAGTCGCTTGTATAATCGACATCATCTTTCATCAATGCCAAATTAAATTAGCCTGCTGCTCATCAATTCTCACGAACCTGCCCGCAAGCCTTATCTCACATCCGCAAATATCATAGTATGCCGAGGACTATTTCTCAACCATCATCAAACCACATCGAATTCAATCGTACCCCAGCCCTCAAAGGTGCATTTCCAATGCCCAGTCTCCTCCATGGGCACTGCCTCTAGACAACTGCCCGGCAAAATCACCCGCCCCGGCTGGAATTCGATATCGTAGGCAGCCAATCGGCTAACCAGCCATGCGACGGCCGACAGTGGATTCCCCAGCACGTTGGCCGTGTTGCCCGTCATTACCTCGCGGCCGTTGAAGTGCAAGATGCCGCGCGTGTCGCGCAGAGTCAGTTCAGTCAATTTCCGCGGCGTGCCGCCGAGGATGATGGAGCCCGTCGGCCCGTTATCCGCCAGCGTGTCCGGTAGGTCGATGGCCCAGTTCTGCACGCGCGAGTTGATAATCTCGATGGCAGGGATGGCGTAGTCATTGGCATTCATCACGTCCACGATGGTGGCATTAGGCCCGCGTAAAGGCGCGCGCAACACGAAGGCTGGCTCGAGCTCCACAAAGGGTTTAATGTACTTGTTGCGCGGCACGGACGTGCCTTCATAAATGGTCGTGCTAGCTAGGAGGAACCCGTAGTCCGGATGATCGAGTCCGAAGGCGTTTTGCATGACTTTGGCGATGTTGCCCAATTTATAACCGACGAGATGGTCGCCCTTCTTGAGGGCCTCGTCCGCGCCGATCCGCTGCACCTCAAAAGTGCTGTCGGCATCTAGAGCCGGCCAGGTTTTGGTGGGTGCCTGGATGGGGTCTGGCTCTCGCGTGCAGTGCCTAGGACCCGCGCAATCTCCTGGAGCTCTTTTGCCTGAATTGTGAAAGGCCGAATTCAGAAGGCGACAATGTGCAGCGGGGAATTCTGTTGAATGAAGATCAAAAATGTGCGATATCTCTGCTCTCTTCTTGTTAGTGAGAAGAGAAGGAGACCTCAGATCGGAAGTTGAAGCAGTATATATCTCCCCTCGTAGCGTACCTGTAGCGTCTAGAATACACGCAAGATGTCATTTATCACCGGCCGTCGCCCACCGAGCCTATCTCGGATTGCTCGGCTGTACTAGGCATGAAGAACATTGCATTGCGACAGGGTCTAGCAGGACCTGAGTTCCGAGGCGAGTGCGGAGATGTCGATCCTGGGCTTAGTTACATCGGCTGGCTCTCCCGATCTCGGGTATCACGGCGTGGTTCCGGTTCGTGTCCTTTCCAACCCTGTCGTCTCAGAACCTCCACCCGACCTCCATGAGGTAAAATCATCCAGCAGACATCATGACGCGCCTCGCCTTGCCTATTCCGTCGCCTATTGATCCCGACTACAAGCCGCGGTGTAGCCTGAAAACGATTCCGGCTACCACTCCCATCGAGTACATTCTCGCCCAGCTGGAACGTGATGGCGGGGTGATCCTGCAAGAACTTGTGTCGCCGCAGGATCTCGCCACTATCGGCGCAGAACTGGAGCCCTGGGACGGCAGACTGGCCCGCCACCCGGCCGAGGGCGAGGTCAGCAGCAGCGGCGATGCGTTCACGACGATCCCGGCACAGACGACTCTGGTGCCCGGACTCGTGGGCAAGTCTCCGACCGTCGCTCGAATTTGCGAACTACCGGTGCTGGAAGGTCTCCGACAGCGCATCCTGCGTGAAGAATTCACGGTCAACCGTGAGGGCCATATGGAGCCTAACATCATCGATCCCCTCCTCAGCCTGAGCGTATCGATGAACATCGGGTACGAGGCCCCGCGTCAGCTATTGCACCGCGACGACAATGTTCATGGCATTCGACATGATAGACGTGGCCCGTGGAGCTTCAAAAAGACCAGCCAGTTTGGATGTCTTATCGCCGGATGCGAGGTGACTCGGCAAAACGGGGCCACGATGGTGATTCCGGGAAGCCATAAGTGGGATGACGAGAAGGAGGCGAGCGAGGATCAGGTCTGCTTTGCTGGTAGGCTCCCTTATTCGGATATCATTAGTCGACGACTAACGTCCCTGGGTTAGAGATGTCCCCAGGATCCGCGTTGATTTTCCTTGCGTCGACGTACCATGGCGGAGGGCATAACTCAATTCCGGGGTCGATTCGGACAATGTACAGCCTGTTCTTTGTTCGCGGGACTCTGCGGACAGAGGAGAATCAGTTTTTGGCTGTCCCGCGAAGCAAAGTATGTCAGATGAGCCCCAAGATGCTCGAGTTACTGGGGTATAAAAAGCCTACGACAGCGCTAGGCATCGTAGATAACATTAGCCCGGATGAGGACTTGGCTGGAATTTGGGAAATGGCGGTGCAGTGAGGAAGTTTCAATTGTCTTCTAGACGTATCCGTATCATGCTCTATGTAATGCTTGTTGAAGATTATCTTCTTTCCTCGTGCCGTCTTCTCCAATGATCCTTCCTGAAAGGCACTTCTATATTCCTGACAAACCACAAAGAGATGATAACGGTGGCATAAGCTCATACAACAATTATTCCAATCTCTCCATATCAAACCAGGGTCTCCTCAAGATCCACCTTTACAGATGAGCAGTATGCACCGTGTTGATTCCACCAGTGACAACCATCTTCACGCTCAGGTATTCTTCTACCCCATACTTGCTGCCCTCACGCCCCATCCCCGAGTATTTAACACCACCAAACCTGCCGTTGTAGATTAATATATGTCAGGGATGGCCTTAGTGTCCATAAGGGGCTTACTTACGGTGTCGCAGCGTCAGAAATCACACCGGTATTGATGGCCACCATGCCGACCTCTAGCCTTTGGGACACACGATGCGCCTTGGCTAGGTCATTTGTAATGAGATGAGAAGCTAAACCCACGTCGCAGTCGTTGGCCCGCCGCACCACTTCATCCTTGGTTGAGAATCTAGCCAGTGCCGCCAGCGGACCGAAGGTTTCCTCTCTAGCCACCTGCATCAAGTCATCGACGTCGCCCAGAATGGTGAGCTCGTGGAAGTTGGGCCCCAAAGCAGGCAGGCGGTTTCCCCCTAGGAGGACAGTGGCCTTCTTGCCTACAGCGTCTTGAATATGCTCAGTCACTTTAGCCACCCCGTTCGTCAACGGCCGTGGGTTACTGAGGCATCCTCTAGGGCGTTTCCAACCACGTACTTCTGCACTTCTTGCACCAGTCGCTGGCTGAAGCGATCGTAGATTCCTTGTTGGACAAATATACGATTGGCGCAGACGCAGGTCTGGCCTGTCACTTTGAATTTGCTGATTAGAGCGCTACCAACTGCGGTCTCGACATCGGCGTCATCGAAGACAATAAACGGGGCATTGCCCCCCAGTTCCAGACTCAATTTCTTCAAGGTCTGGCTGGATTGTTGCATGAGAAGACGGCCCACGCGAGTGGAACCTGTGAACGAGATCTTTTTCAAAATTTCGGACTCGCAGAGCAACCGACCGAGGGAGGGTGTGCTGGTCAAGGCCGTTACGACATTGAAGAGGTCCCGAGGCACGCCGGCTCGCTCTCCCAGCGCCGCCATCACGTTGGAGGCAAACGGCGTCAATCCGTCCGACTTCAGCACCACGGTACACCCAGCAGCTAATGCGGCGGCCACTTTGCGCGCTCCCATGGCGATAGGGAAGTTCCACGGTGTAATAAGACTACAGACGCCGACGGGCTCCTTGAGCACCTGCGTGCGGCTGGTAGGATTGCTGTGTGGCAGGACATCCCCGTAGATGCGCGGCGCCTCTTCAGCGAACCCTTCGAAAAACTAGCTGCAAAGACGGCTTCTCCCCCAGCGTCGGCTTTGGCCTTGCTATTTTCTGCCGTGATGATGCGGCCGATGTCTTCTTTGTTGTCTACCAAAAGATCTGTCAAGCGGCGCAGAATACGGCCCCGTTGTCTCTCGGACAACGTCCGCCATGTTGGGAATGCTCGGGCAGCTGCTTGAATGGCGTCATTAAGGTCTTCTGCGTTCGATTCAGGGCAAGTTCCAACGAGCGCTTCGGACGCAGGATTATAAATATTAAACGTCACATTAGAACAGGAGGGTACCCACTGCCTGTCGATGAATGTCTTCTCGACGAAGAGGCTAGGGTCCTTCAGGCCAGATGCAAAGATCGAGGCCATTGTGTATATGTACCAACGATATGCTCAATGTGAACGTAGCACTCAACAAGTTTCTCTTACGGTTCATTTTATTTCTTGTCCGGGTATCTGTTATAAGTAGCTTTGTAGAGATACTTGAATTTCTACTGTGTCTCTCAAGCAATACCGCGCCTTGCTCCGACGGCTCCTCGGCATTTCTGGACCCAGGCAGGGTCACTAACTACGGAGGGATCGGGTCCGCCATCCGACCGTCGAGTCAACAAGCCGACCCTAACCGGTGCCCGGAGAGACGGCTTCGTTGCGTACTTGGACTGCACCGATCAACTGATACCCGGCCGCGCTCAAGGATACCTGCAACCTCAAGATACTCCCGGACGATCACTTAGCGCGAAATGCAAACGATACGGTATCGCGTGGAGACTTTTCGGGATCGATCCGACCACCCAATCAACGACCCACACTATGAAAAAACACAGTTACCCGTTAGACTCGGGTTCACAAAGTGGGTGGGAGCGTGTCACAAATAGTGTCGTGGGCTAAGCCTTCTCTTCAGGGATCGGAAGTGCCCAGGGATATCGATCGGGTCTCCCTCCCGAGGGAATTCTGCATGAAAACAAAAAACCGTTTATTCCAATGTAGGATAGTCTCATGGCACAGTAAATATATGCCTATCATTATTTCTTCCACGACCTAGAGGTTAGTGTCCAAGAAAACTATTTTTCCAGTTGCATCGACGTCGAGGCACGCTTGAATGGTGCCACTCCCTTCCGGAAAGCATATTCCGAGCGAGCTACTATCATCAGGCTCACTCTTCATGTACTTTTCTTCTCACCGATCCTCACGCACGCGGAGTACCACAGGCAAGCTTTTGATTGTGGTACATGATGGCTCCTGCTGCCACAATTTCTTCAATGACAGGGCCACCCAAAGTAGTTGGCCCTGCAACTAAGACAGCGACTCGCCCCGCCAATCTGCTGCCCCAGTGGCTCATAGACGGTGCTCATATCGATAAGCGAGAGTCATTCGATGCCAAGAAACACCTTAACTTCGAACCACCAAGCAGAATCTACACGATGACAGAGATCGGGCTCGAGGGCCAGGGTATCTCGCCGCATGCCGTGTCTGAACCCTTTCCACTATTCACTGAAGACTCCGTCACGCAAATGAGAGCGGAAATATTTAGCCGCCAGGTTCTCGATCACTGCCAATTTGCATCGACCTTCAATAAGAACATGATTCGGGGCATGGGCCCTGGGTAAGTTGGCCCTTGAGTTCTCCAGAACTTGTTCTAACCGAGACTAGGCGGGCCCCATTCACCTATAGTGCGTGGAACTCACCGGAGCTCCTAGTTAAGATCTCCCAGGTAGCCGGGATTAATTTGGTCCCTGTGTTTGATCATGATATTGCCACCATCAACATTTCGATTGGTTCGGGAAGCTTAGATTTGACGTCGTCTCTAGAAGAGTCGTCTGACGAAAACCTGCCGAGTGTAGCGTGGCACTACGACAGCTTTCCATTTGTGTGCGTGACTATGCTCTCCAACTGCGAGGGCATGATTGGAGGGGAGACGGTGCTGAGGACGGGAACCGGGGAAGTGATGAAAGTCCGTGGACCGGCTATGGCAAGTTTCCTGATACCTGATGCCACTCGTATCATCTTGTGCCCAGTCATTAACTCAGGACAGGGAACCGCGGTGGTAATGCAGGGGAGGTATATCGAGCACCAGGCCCTCCAGGCGTTAGGCGGTCGTGAACGAATCAGCATGGTTACTGCCTTTCGACCCAAGTCGCCATTTGTCAAGGATGAGTCGATTCTAACGGGGGTTCGGGGGATCAGCGTTCTGCCAGACCTTTATAGCCAGTATACCGAGTACCGCCTAGAGATTTTGGAGGAGCGCATTCGTGCCCGCTTGGAAACCGAACGCCAGCGTGAAGTGGCCAAGCGAAGATTCGATACCTCCGATGCGAGAAGCTGGCTGATTGAGCAAAAGGAGTTCATCGAGGCCATGCTTACGGAGCTCTATGAGGTTTGAACCGGGGATGGTCTTCCGTGCTACGTCTTTACGATGACGCTCTACGAGTGTTGCGACCGTTTTCAGCCCTTCTTTGAAACGTCTATACATCATATGTTTTCGTCCCAAGGTTTCCCATGGGCTTTGATTAAGAATTTTTGCATTCGACAGAGGTAATAGAGGAGTCCTGTGTTGCGAGACCAATGCCCCACGAACACGATCCAAGGATGGGAAACCAAGGGTCCGATGCCGCTGGCGACCCCGCGTTGAGCCGAGCAGAGCCGACCCGAGCCGAGCCGATCTTATCATAATCATCTACCTATCCCTATCGTCGAACTGGCCGTTATTTACATACTATAATTTCCTTCACGTCGACCTCAAACGCGGAATTTTGGACAATGACTTCCAACCCTTGTGTGTCATGCATAGAATAAGTGAAAGAGCAAGGATTGGAATCTTGAATACACTTATGCCTATGAGACAAGGCGTGAGATACAAAGGTCTAGACACAGTAGGCCCCAAATCGCAACGTGAAAATCTTATCATCACAGTGCAAGGAGGATTTATTGCACTCGAAAGTCTCCAGAGTACCTTGGATCGAGTAACTAGAAACTGTTCTGGGACTGGAAAAGCAAATGTTAGGGCTGCCATAGTGGGATTTTTGTTCAAGTCGCCAGGCGGAATTGGCCCCTTGCGTCGAGGCATGTGATATAAACGAGGTCTCGATCTTTCCTCATAAGTAATCGCCGGGTCCAGCCAAAGTTTACAATTCAATACCTCGAGTGAGTGAAGCAAGGGAGCTTGTTGCAGTCCCTCAGCTGACCTTCGCTGTAACGATACAGTGTCGAACAACACGGTCAGATGACAGTCACCCGAAGATTGCTTTTTTGTAGGGAGAGATGAGAGACCACCCTGGGAGTGGCTTCGTTTGTAGTTGAAATCTAGATCCGAATGAGCGGCGTCTCTCGAGGTCCTGCAACGATTCCCGCAGGTGCCTGCCTGTGGAGCCTGGTCTCCATCACTGCGAACCTCCCCGTACAATGGACGGCGATTCTGCCAGGAGAAATGTCGTTGAGACAAGCAGCCACACACCAATCGGCCTTATGCAGCTTCCGGCTCTCCCTTATCAAGCACCATACTGACCTGCATTTTTCCACATTCTTGGTCTCCTATATTGCATCCCACTGACCGAGATATCGCTCCTTTGCCCCTACATCCCGAAATCTGTACGAGCTAGAACGGAATCTAACGAACCCAATGATGTGAGTCGTTTTCTGGACTTCCTGTACTATCCGCAGGCTATATAAAGACCTGAGCCTTGTACCATGATCTGGAGTGGGGTTTATAATAGCACTGATACTACGTATCGTCAAGGCACGCAAAGGAGCTAAGACGACGAACTGTACCTTTCGATTGTTCCCTCATCATTTTTCTTCTTTTTAATGATATCGTATTCTATAAGCTGTTGCGATATACAAATCTCAACCATTTGTTTGTTATAGATCGACAAAGCAGCATCTTGAAACAGTTACATGGGTTGCGACCCCGAAATAATATAGCGCGGCACTGAGGCTATATCGCCCTCTTTGATTTCGATATTGAGTTCTGAAAGTGCATTCTCCCATCAACCAATGGGCCAGACATACCAAGAGTTGTGAAGATGACACCTCGAGCTACCCTGACTGAGCGCGACTCGGACGGAAAGCCCGAGTCGCTCCTGGAACACGAGAAGACTCCAAGAGACTGGGCCGATGAAGAATCTCTGAAACGCCATCTGACCTCCCGCCAAGTGCAGATGATTGCTGTTGGAGGCTCCATCGGTACCGCGCTGTTCATCACGATCGGACGCGGAGTGATGCAAGGGGCTGGTAGCTTGCTCGTTGGTTTTGTTCTTCATGCGATCATTATGGCCCAGATCAACAATTCGCTGGCTGAAATGACCATCTTCATGCCCGTAAGTGCCGCCTTTATCCAGCACGCCAGCACGTGGGTCGACCAGGCTTGGGGCTTCATGATAGGTTGGAACTTCTGCCTGTTCGAGGGCCTGTTGATTCCGTTCGAGATTACCGCACTCAATATGGTCTTGACATACTGGCGCAATGATATCCCGTCAGCTGCGGTAATATCGGTCACCATCTTGCTATACCTGTAGGTCACAGTTGTTTATCCGGTGATCGAGCGGCTCGAAAAGAACTGCTAATTGCTGAGTAAAATGTTATTCCAGAATAACCAACGCCTTCGCGGTGAAGTACTTCGGGGAAGCTGAGTTCTGGCTCTCCAGCGGCAAGCTCTTACTCATCCTGATTCTATATCTGTTTACCTTCGTCACCATGGTAGGTGGCAATCCCCAGCACGATGCTTATGGCTTTCGAAACTGGACACAACCGGTATAGTGATATTTGCTTCCGAATCCCGTTGATTGAAACAGCCTGAACGACTATTCTTCTGACGGACTTTGCAGAGCCCTTTTGTGGAGCACATATCTTCGGGAAATCTCGGGCGATTTCAAGGGGTCCTTGTGGCCATCTGGCAAGCGGCCTTTACCATCGCCGGTCCGGAATACCTGGCAGTCGTGGCGGGCGAGACGAAGGCGCCCCGGAAGACACTGGGTGCTGCATTCAAATCAGTCTACTGGCGGTTTGGCGCCTTTTTCATTGGCGGCGCCCTCTGTGCGGGCATTGTATGCCCAGCAAATGACCCGAAACTTCTGCAGTTGCTCGCTTCAGGCGAGACAAGCGGAGCGTCGTCACCCTTTGTGATTGCCATGATAAATATGAAAATTGAAGGCTTGCCACATGTCATTAATGCGCTCTTCGTGACTACCATCTACTCAGCCGGGGATGCATGCGTTTATACCACCTCGCGCAGTTTGGTTGGCTTGGCAGAAAATGGCCATGCGCCACAGCTTTTGCGGAGATGCACGAAGAATGGAGTCCCAATATACGGGCTCATGGCTGCGCTCGCTTTTGCTTGTCTGGCATATTTGCAACTTGGGAGCGGCTCTACTATCATTTTGAGCTGGTGAGTCAACTCGATGTCATGCTTTCGATGTGGCTAATTGACTAAGGTTAACAAACCTTATCACGGGGGGAACGCTGATAACATATATAACCATCTGTGTGAACTATCTCTTCTTCTACCGGGCTCTCAACCGGCAGGGGTACGGCCGCTCGGAGCTACCGTACTGTGGGTGGTTTCAGCCCTGGGGCACCTGGATTGCCCTAGCTTGGCTTGTTGGCGTGGAGGTTCTATATGGGTACGAGGTCTTCTTGAAGGGAACCTGGGACGTAGGGTCCTTTTTTAGCCATTATACCATGGCATTTCTCGCCGTTGCTACCTTCTGCGGCTGGAAAATTGGGAAGCGCACTCGGTCTATAGCACCAGAGGAGGCAGATCTTGTCTGGGCCCGGCCATCCATCGATCACCATGAGTTGATTTTGGACGACAAAGACGGCGACAACCTCTGGCAGTGGCTAATGCAGAAGCTGAAATTATCTCAGTTGCAAGGAGAACCGATTAATCTGGGCCAAGTGTAATAGTATAAGGACTATACCTGTATGGGATCTTTGAGATTATACAATACTACTAACTCGTTATATTCAGAATTCTATCCCATACAATTAGGAAACCCGAGGCCTAGATAACACACGAGGGTATAGTTATATCAACCAGCAATGGGTAGGAATCTTGCCGAAATGTTGAAGTAGTTAACTCTTGAGTAGGGAATTCGTATGTTTTGTGATGTACCAGATAATACGTTTGTAATTATCATCTGATTACATTTCAGCCAACATAAAATTCTGACATTAGCAGAGTTATGTAGATCCCTTCGCGGAGACATCCCGCAGGCGCAAAATCTTCGTTCGGAAAGGATCCAGTACGGAATTAGCGCGGATACAATCAATCCATCCCGAAATGAATTGTGCCCAAGGTTCCTCACATGAGTTGCAACCCGTCTTGCAAAACACCTCTGATAGTTTGAAATACTAAGATTTGGAATGCAGGGCGCTTTATACCAGCATAGTAATGAAGGCCCTAGTCAAGTTTTAGTTGATATAATTGAGCGTTTTGTCAATAATACAGCTGGTAAATCCAAACGAGGTATAAATTTCATTAAAGTGCGCATCCCGAATCCGACAGAATAGAACGACCACTAAGGTGACAGTTTGATGTGATTTGTGAAAGAGTCACCGAAATTTTGAGATGTTAAGGGCTGTTTTGTTACAATCTAGATATGGTTAGTATAAATCGAAACCTCTTTACGCAGTCGAGAGTCTCGGCAATAGTTAACTAACGGAGTTATTCCGGTATTATCTAACTTTGTTTAATGTGCTCGTAAAATGAGTTGGAATCTTATGATTTTCTCTCCCAGACCACGAGGCTTTCCCCAGGATTTTCAATAGAGACATGGTAACGAACAAGAAAAAATGCAGCAAGAACCCCCCAACTAAAAGCCTAAGGAGCCTCGCCGTCCAAAAATTCCTCTAGCGTGCGAAGCTTGTCGTGATCGCAAGTCTCGCTGCGATAGCCACAAGCCGACATGTGTTGCTTGAAAACGCCGCAGTCTTCTGGTCGACCGCTGTAGATACGTAGCGGAAAATGCACGAACGGCAAGCAACAATGAGTTCAGAACCTTTATCCCAAAAAGTACCAGGGATTCTGCTAACGAAATTGTTCCAGATACGTACGCGCCTTGCTCCATCGGATACGGGAACTGGAGGCTGGCTCGGCATCCTAACATGCCGATTCAGAGTCTGTAAACCCGTCGGCCATAGTTAACGAAGAACCAACAGAAGCAATAGAGGTCTTCCCATCACAGTCCGGTGATTTTGAATTGCTCGGGCTGGGTGGTGATTACGAAGAACCCTTGCTGCAAAACCAAGAACCTCAGGCACTTGGTTTATCAGATGCCCAAAGTGATATTCTCCGAACTACAGATTCCCCTGGTAACATTACTGGCATGGGCGCTATGACCAATATCAACGAAAACGACCCAGTCCCCAGCCAAAACTCAGAGTATTTCGGGGGCTCATCAGCCGCATAGCTAGTATGTCTCCTCACCAGCGATCAAAGGCAGCCTAGACGCCATGCGTGGGCTTCTCAAAAGAGACCACTGCTTGACTGGGTCAGCAATAATCAATTTGGGGGTTCTGGCATGGCGTCAGTTGCCGAAATGGAGGTGTTTGCGCTACCTCCTCGTGACCTTGCCGATCATTTGCTAGGTTGCTTCTGGGAAAGGGTCTATTGTCTATATCCTTTCTTTGATCGCTAGGGCTTCCAACAAGCATATGAAAATCTTTGGGTACCGAAGAGTCACGCCAGCCATAAACTCACGATCTTAATGTTGGCTTAGGAGATCAGTTCAACTCGGCTCCGAATTCGATCGTCTTCAATTGTGTACTGAATACTATATTTGCACTACGATTCAATTTCTCGGAGATTCCTGTACAGGACCGCGAATCTTTCATTGTTTCTCTTTTTCTCTGGGCAAAACGACACATTGGGCTTGAATTGATAGAAATCCATGGTCCAGACCCTGTTAGTAGTGGCATTAATTCTGCAGAGCACTCCTTATCCTCATCGCTGCTGGAACTCGACCGGAATGGCTGGTCGTCTCGCACTTGGACTGGGATTGCATGAAATGCAATTGGAAGGCCCGAAAAACTCATTAGAACAGGAAATACATCGGAGAACCTGGCATGGCTGTATCATAATGGGTATGTATCTGCTCCCTACAGATTCCCAGACATGACTTTCTAGCAGTCGCAGAACCGCCAGCATGACGTATAGGCGACCGACCATGACGAGTCACCTCGCAAGAGCCCCGTTACCAGGGTCTCTCGTTTTAATATCGGGTGCCGATTCGGATTTTCCGTAACTGATCGCATTTTATATTTCGACGATAAATCTCTACTCCATCTTAGATGGTATTCTTTCTGATGTATACAAGGCTTGGCGTGATCGATCCAGTGACTCTGCACCAGAAGTGAGGCCTGCCGGTCTTAATGTTATTCTCCGTCTTGAAGATCAACTGCTACAATTCGAATCTTCCGTTCCTTTATTTTTGAATTGGATAGCCACATCGCTACCGCCAAAATCTATGATCGAAGAAACGGTAAGTAGATAGCGTAATGTTCTTCATTTACGGTACGTTTTTCACATCTCAACCGGCCTTTACTGATGACCAAGGTTTCTTTATTTGACACTCACAGGGCTAAGGCCCTTGTCAAGGCGAACGGGTCTTTGGAAGCCATCCGCAGCATCTCAGGCTCGACCTGGGGGACCTCCCTGCTGAGCATGCGCCGCATCTACCTGGCAGTGGTCGTCCCCCAGCTACTCTACGGGGCGGCTGCCTGGTATAGCCCTACGAGCTGGACGGTCAGTTCCAAGAAGCTCCAGAAGACAGTCAATGAATTCCAGAGGATTCAAACCCGCGCAGCTGTTCTTATC